TTAATTTTCATAATAACCCTGCAATGATTGTTACTCCCGTTTCACATATGAAGACTCTGGGGACAGAGAGGCTCAACAAACTTGGCCAAGGTCATGAAGCTAGAAAGTGGCAGAGCTGTAACTTAAGCCCAGGAGTTCACATTATGATAACAAACACTTTGTTGTTTGGGTGGTTAATACTTATTTTAGTTACAGAAATACTATCAGAACTTTAACTTTGTTCTTGCTATGAATTCCAAAATTCAAAATTCTAAGGCTTTATTTCATAGGAGCAGAAAGCTTTGTCTTTCTTCTTCAGAGCAGCTGCCAGGCTTGAACTGTGCACCTTGTGGTTTGCAGTTCAGTGAGTATCTTTATGGAGCCACCATGCTCCGATTACATGTAGTAATAACCTAAAAGTTGTTGGGGGACAGAGATGCTGGAACAGAAGAGGATCAATAGTAAAGGTTGCTGTTGTCGCTAGTTATCTCCAAAGGCTGGGCATAACAAGTTAGGTTCAGTGAACTTGGGGATTTAGTGACCACATGGGGTCCAGATGTGGCACAGCAGGATAAGCACTGGACCATGAGATTGGTCTGAACCCCAAGGTAGGCAGTTCACACTCACCAGCTGCTCCTGAGATATTCTGCACAGGGTTGCTGTTGAGTTGGAACTGACTTGAAGGGTAACAGTGACCATGTGAGGAACCCTCGTGGTGTAAGTGGGTTAAATGCTGGGTCATTAACTGAACAGTTGGCAGTTCAAACCCACCAGCCACTCTGCAGGAAGATGAGGCAGTTTGTTTCCATAAAGAAACCTATGTAGCAGTTCTGCTTTTACCTATAGGTTGCTATGAGTCGAGTCAACTCTACGGCAGTTTGCGTAATCACCATGTTTTCTTAGGATCTTCTGGGATAACAATAAAATTCCTACAGGAACTGGAAGGGAGTACTGAAAAACACTTTTTTTTTTTAAACATTCAACCATCGTTATGAGCTGAGTATGCTAAAATGAGGGCAGTGTTCAGAATAATTTATTTATTTCAAAATCTTATCAGCATGCCAAGTGAAAGGAATCAGACACAACGGACAAATATTATATGACCCCCATTTAAAAGAAACAGGCTAATGCATAGGGACTAAAGTTTCTTAGTGATCGTTGGGAGTGGGTAGAAGGGAAAAATGTGGTACTAAGGTGTACCGGGTTTTTCTGTTAAGGTGATAGGAAATTTTGGAAATGGATAGTAATGATGGTTGCACTATATAGTGACAGTACTTAAGGCCAACAAACATTCCATGTAAACATGGTTGAAATGTTAAATGTTCTGTTACATACAAGTGGTTGTAGAAAAACTCCGATATATTTTCATTCCATTTGGCATGAACTTTTTGAAGTCCCCTTGTGTGTATAATTATTACCACAATAAAATAATAATTGAAAAATAACAACTATTGCTGCATGGACCAAATGCGCTATTTGTCATTTAACCTTGTACCAGCAACTTAACTGCATGGCGCATGCGTTTCCTAAATGTTACTGTGGAGATAGATAACCCTTATTATAAGAGACTGTTCTAAGGATAAAATGAGATACTTACAAAATGTTTAGCAAATTTTGACATATCAAGAGAATGATGTGTAAGAAGTTAACACTTATATTTTGAATGGACAAAGCCAACTTCTTATATTAAGGGAAATAATAATCATTATTTTGAAAAATGCTTGGGATACTTCTAAATATTTTAGTTGAATGAGAACTAAAGCCTGAGAAGGTGAAACTTGCTCAAACATACTAAAAGCAGGGAGTGGACAAAGTCTCAAAACTTTAAAACAGTCCCAACACCCTTAGACCATGTTACATACCCTTAAAGAGAAGATGAATAGAAGCAAAGGAGTATGCAATTTGCCTTAAAAAGAAACAAACAAAAACCACCTTTGTATTTGAAGAAAAGACTCCACATAAATAACTTTGTTGTCAAGGTAAACGTGCCAATCTCTGCACACCAGTTCCTGATTACCTGTTGTTCCTGCCGCTGCTGCCTTCTATGTTTCTTAGCTGGTAGAGGAGGAGGTGTGTCATTTAAAGGAAAAGGATCGACAGATGTAGCCATGACTTCAGGCCAAGGGGCTGATGGAGGTTGTGTGACAGGAAGAGGAGAAAGGGTGGAAGGAAACATAAATCCAGAACAGACAGGTGATCTTTGCTTTATAGGAGAAAGAGAAAGTAGAGATGTGTCCATACAAAAGAATAAAACAACGACAACAACAAAAAAAATGAAAGCAAAAAATCAGATTGCTCTGTTTCACTACGTTTTTATCAAGAAGTCACAAATGATGGACAGTATCTTTCAAGTCAGCCTCATGTTTAAACCCCACACTGCATGCTACTGGATTGCAGAAAGTATTTTAATGACTATTATTTGCTATGTCTCAAAATGTTTTTCAAAAGCATATCATTCAAAGAAAAATATACACTGCACAGCAAAACAGAAAACAAAAATCAAACTGGAAAGGCAATTCTAAAATCAACAATATTAGAAAGATTTTGAATGGTTCTCAGAAAAAAAATCTTAGATTGGGTTACAATGTTGAAGATACCAGAATTTATTTCTTTGGACTAGTCCTCACAGTTTCGTCTCCATTCTGCACCATGAAAGGCATGACTCCTAGTATTTTAAATGGTACAGCAGTATTCCCAAATTGGCATGTTTTATAAACTCCAGCACTCTGGCCTCTGGTCAAACAGATGTATAATTGTCTCACACACACCCTCATTTTCAGTTCACCAGGAGGTAATTTTTGATAAAAGCAAAAGTAGTGAATGAATGAAATGGCATGCCAACACACCTCTTTATTCTGTGGCTGGCCCACCAGCACAGCTGTGGCAGGCTCAGTGGCAACAGCATCAGCATCAGCGGGGGACTGAGTGGAAAGGGACAGATTCGTGGAATTGCCACATGGCTCATTAATTTCATTTACACTGATATAACCCTAAAAGGAGGAATTCAGAAATTAGACACAAAGAAAGCAAAAGCTGAGGCATGCGAGAGTTAATTAATGTTCCCAGTACAATGGAGTTAGCTTAAAGCAGCATAGCCAAGTATCTGTGATATGATCAAATGTTTCATTAATGGGATAATCAGCAATTAAAATAGATTTAAAGTGCTTCATCTTGAAAAGCTCTTTTCTAAACATTAAAAATAATTTCTTTCTGATAAAATCACTAGGACTACATTGCAAATAACTCAACACCTTCAACTGTCAAATCCCCAGTGGTATCAGCATTCATTCTGTTCACTAGATAAGGTTGCCATTATATACACATTTAAAATAATCCTATATACCAAGTCTGCAATGTAACATTTACAACAAATTCACTCACTCCCTAAAACAGGAGCCTTTCCCACAAATCTTCCTTTATAGATTTTTCTCTTTTATTCTGTTTCTTGACCAATTAGTGGATAAGAAGAAGTGGGTCAAGGTATCCTGGCTTTTTGCAATAATAAAGTCTTTATACAATTTATTTGTGATGGAATTTAAATGTTGAGCATCTCAAATAAATCAGATAAAAAGAACACAGTTCTCAATTAAGTGAACTTTTCCTAGATACACACACACACACACACACACACACACACACCCCTAAGGTGGAGTAGCAACTACAGTACTAAAGTTTTAATTAAAAAATTTAAAGCAGCTTCCCCCACCCCAGCTCAAACCCCAGGATAGAGAATTTCCCATAATTTTTTAATTTAATAATTCAGTTTTGGCATCAGCTTAAGAGAAAATACCTTAAATCAAATTTATCAAAATCAGAATTCTTGAATTTATGTTCGTAGAAAAAGCACTCACAAATATTCATGAAAAGTAATTGTACAGTCATATTTTTATTTTACTCACTCCAACAAAACAATGTATATATATATATATATATATATATATATATATATATTTTTTTTTTTTGGAAGGATAAAGGACATAAATAATCTCTCTCTTTTAAAAGATAAATTGAGTTAACTTTGACACTTGTCTTCTTAGATCGGCCCAATTAATCATTTTAAAAAGTGGCTCCAACCAAGGCAAGACTGGGCTGGAAATCAAGGTCTTCACTGAGACTTACAATTATGAAAAAATGAAAAAAGCTAAAGTTAACCTTATAAATTGGAGGCATCAAAATGCTACTAAATATAGCCATGCATTTCAGAAAGGGGCAATAGATATCATGTAAAGCTTTATATAACGCTAAACAGAAAGAAGGAAGTAGTCATTGGTGCTGTCAGATTTCATTTTATTTTATGATAACTAGTCAGGATGAAAAGTAACAATTTCGTATTACTCTTTTGTGTAATATGTAGGAGAATGTTTTTAGTAAAACTTAAGTTTGTTTGTTCTCTTATATGGATCAGAGATCATAGGCTAATTAATTGCTCCAAAAATATGTACCGTTTGAAAAAGTAGAAATTGTTTAAAAGGGATAAGTCATAAATGTATCCATCACTCCTGAGTGAAAAAAGAGAGTCATGAAAATCTTGGGCATCTGTGAGTATGTCTATGTGGTTCAGGAAAGAGAACACATACAGCTACTCAACATGCATGAGAACTGCAGACACACAATAATACAAATCAAACTGCCACCACCACCAACAAAACGTGCTTCTGACCCCAAGAACTCTGCACAGCAAAAGAACAAGGGGAAAACAGAAAAAGAATATTTCACTAGGAAATGAAAAACTTAGAACCCATCCTTGGAAACCCTATACAGCAGTGGTGGGGAAACTCTTTTTCTGCCAAAAAAATTTATAACATCATTCACAGGCCATACAAAATTATCAGCTTAAAAAGTAGCCTGCTATATACATTTGGCCAAACATTGAATTAACTTACCCCTAATGTGATGGCTAAGGAGCTCTGGTAGCGTAGTGGTTACGAATCGGGCTGCTAATCTTACGGTCAGCAGTTGGAAACTACCAGCTGTTCCGTGGGAGAAAGATGAGACTTTTTGCTCCCGTAAAGATTTACCGTCTCAGAAACCCTATGCAGGGTGGCTATGAGTCGGAACTGACTCCACGGCACATAGCAACAACAATGTGATGGCTGGCTCTGTGGTTGCTTTGGCAGGGCCAGATCAAATACAGGGTCACTATAGTGGTTACGAGTCGGGCTGCCAACCTCAAGGTCAGCTGTTCAAAACTACCAGCTGTTCCGCAGGAGAAAGATGAGGCATTCTGCTCCCATAAAGATTTACAGACTCGGAAACCCTGTGCAGGGTCATTATAAGTCAGAACCAACTTCACGGTACTTAACAATAACAACAACATAAGTTGGAACCAACTTGATGGTACTTTACAACAATTCATTTGTAAATCACAAATCCTCCAAACTCATTATGTCCAGAGTCAAACTTCAAATCTCCCTTCTTGTACCTATTCTTTCCTCATCTTCCTTATTTCAGTAAAAGACACTCACAACCCATCCAATTATTCAAAGTGGAATTATGAGATCATCCTGATTCCTCTCCTTACTGCATCACTACATCCAATCTATCGGCAAGATCTGTCAACTGTAACACCACATCTAATCCTGCTAATTCTCCCCATCTCTCAGTCACAGCTCTCATCAAAGCTAACAACATCTCCAGCCTAAGGTGCTGCAATAGCTTCAGACTGATTTCCCTACATCTTTCCTTACTCCTTTGAATCCAGAATGCACAGAGCAGCCACTGTAATTTTTAAAACATGTACATCAAATAATGCTATCTCTCTCTCTCTGCTTAAACTACCTGTTGGCTTCCCATTGCACATAAAAAAAATCATACCTCTGCTACCTGGGCTCACAAAACCTACCCCCACCCACCTCACTGAGGAGTATGAGTATGGGGGCTCTGGAGAATAAGCACTGAACTGCAAAACACAAGGTTGATGGTTCAAGCCTACTAGCCATTCCATGGAAATCTATACAGGATTGCTGAGTCAGAACCAACTCGATGACACTTAACAATAACAGCCCATCTCATTGGCATTCCCTTATACCAATATCTTGTACTCATTACATTCTATTAACAACCATTCTTTGTTCATTGAGCCTACCAGTTCAGATCCTGAATGTCTTGATCTAAGTATCTCTCTCTCACAACAGTAATATAGCTTAAGCACTATTGCTAACATCCCATTTTATACAAAAAGGTTCAATAACCACCCCAAGGAGCAAAAACAGGGATGGAAACTCACAAAGCCCTTGCTCTTAGTCATTATAATAAGCAGCCGCTCATTATAGAAGCTTCTTGAGGACACGATTTTATCTACCTTGCTCACATACCTTGCTCTGGTGCCTGGATGCAAGCCTGTTACATAGTAGGCACTTCAGAAATACATGTAGAACACCATCTAAGTCAATCCCCTTGTTTTCCAGATGATGGAGAGATGCAGAGAGGTCAGACAGGGAAAGAGTCACAATGCAAAGAGAAAGCTGGAGCAATATCTTATGTACCCATATTATGCATTAAATTGTGTCCTTCCCCTTCCCTGAAATTCTGTTGAAATCCTAACTCTTAGGCCTGTCAATTTAGGAATCCCACTGGCTCAGTGCTTAAGCACTTGACTCAACTGCTAACCAAAAGGTTGGCAGTTTAAATCTGCCAGCTGCTTCTTGGGAAAAACATGTGGCAGTCTGCTCTAGTAGAGATCACAGTTTTGAAAACCCTACAGAGAAGTTCTACTCTATTCATTAGATTTGCTATGAATCAAAATCAACTGGACAACAAGTTTGGATTTTGGTTCGGTTTGGTACCTGTCAATATGACCCTGTTTGGAAACAGAATTTTTCTCTTATTTGTGTTGATGAGGTCATTCTGAAATAAGGGTGGGTCCTAAACCTAATCCCTTTTGGGTAGGTAATGTTTTATACAAAGAACGGAATAGACATTACACCACACCAAGGGATGGGTAGAGGTGGGGAGACAACATGAGGAACTGTCTACAAACCAAGGAATGCTACGGAACTTGTACAGTTTATTGACAAAAAAAAGACCCTCCCCTTCTTCACAGATCTCCCGATTTGGACTTCTAGCCTCCAACACTGTGAGACAATTATTTCTGCTCATTCAAGTCACTAATTTAGGTACTTTTTGTTACGATAGCACTAGATAATTAAGAAACATCTCAACTTTTGGTCTCTCCAGGGCTCCTTCACAAGGTACTCTACTTAGTATTTTGCAGAAAAATAAGTAAAACTGAAGACAAATTCTACCTACATAAGGAGTCCCGGTGTGGCACTGCAGAATGAGCATTGGACTGTTACCAGTAAAGTTGCCAGTTCAAAACCACCAGCCACTCCTCAGAAACCCTATATAAGGTCACTACAAGTTGGAATCAACTTGATGGCACTCAACAACAACAAGAAGAACCAACACAGGAACTCAAATACATGAATGTGAATTCAGATTATTTAACTTTTTTCCTCATCAATAATTTAACTGTAGAGATAAGAGTTACTTGATAATAATCATTTCTTTCCTCTGTCCTCCAATGCCTCCACTGAAAACAAAGCCACTCTATCATGAATCAATCTTCATCCTGAGTCCTCTACACTCCTACTTTGCCAGTAACTTCCACTCTTCCTATTTAGCTACATAAGAACCACAACCAGGGTGAATAAAAACTTAGTAACTTTTATTCCATATGGGATCCTGTATCAAAAATTGTATTTGTTTAATAAATTATTATTTTATCTACTCCCAAATGGTATGTGAGGGGCCATTGTGTCACAGTGGGTTATACGTTGGGCTGTTAACTGCAAGGTCAGCAGTTTGAGGCCACTAGGCTCTTCTCGGGAGAAAGATGATCCATACAGGGTGACAATGAGTCAGAACCAGCTCAATGACCTACACACAGCCAGACAGCCAAGTGATATGTGTGGGAGGGAGAGGTGGCTAATTAAACTTCCAAATTATATATTTTTCTAATTAAGTCATATTCATAGCAATAAAATCAATTTTCCAATAAAACTGACTAGTGATATTAAGGAGTCCTGGTAAGGTGCTATAGGGTAAACACTGAACTGCTAATTAGCAGCTCCTTGGAAGCCCTATACAAGGTTACTATAAGCTGGAACTGACTAGATGGCACTTAAAACAGTGATATTAGATATTTCACACACACAAAAATCTCTTACACAATGAATCTGAAGAATGTTAAAATTTTACCCTAGAAAATTTTATCAAATTGTTCCCATGTATTTTAATTAATAACTGAAAATATTAACTGTGCAAATATGTTACATAGATTGTAAAATATGTGCCTTCTTTTTAAAAATACTTATGCAATGCAAAGACCAAAGTTACTATCAACCTATTTAAGAGAATTTTAGAAAACAGGAAATTAGAGTGGCTTATGGAGCCCTGGTGTTGGCATTGTGGGTTAATGTGCTGGACTGCAAAGTCGGCTTGAACCACAAGGTCAGCGGTTCAAACTCACCAGATACTCCATGGAAACCCTATACAGGGTAGCTATGGGTTGGAACCATCTCGATGGCACTTAACAACAACATGTTTTACATTATAGTTTGTTGCTGTTGTTAAGTGGCATTGAGCTGGTTCTGATTTATAGCAATCCTTTATGGGGTTTCTGGTGTCTTTGAACCACTGATCCTGTGGTTAGCAGTCCAGTGCTTATCCTACAGTGCCACACCAGAACAAGGTATTAAATGGGGCATGTTTTTTAAAAAAGGCAATACTATCACATTTTAAGAAATTCTGGTGTGGCACTGTAGGATCAGTGCTAGACTGAATCATAAGGTCAGCAGTTCAAGCCCACCGGCTGCTCCTCAGAAACTCTATACAGGGTCTCTATGAGTTAGAATGGACTCGACCACACTTAACAACAACATTCCATTTTAAGTGTTCTTCCAAAAATATAAATGGTAAGAATCTCTACAAATGAATTTTTCTTGCTATTAAGTACCATTGAGCTGGTTCCGACTCACAGCAACCCTGTAAAGCGTTTCCAAGGAGCTACATTTGCTATTATGGAAGAAATATTTTAGTATGGATTTTTGAATAATGGAAAAATTCTATGAAATTGAATGATCTAATGAAGAATTTGAAGGAGCTATTTCTCAAAATGCTTCTGAGGTACCCATTATGCACGTCTATGAATCAGAATGGACTCGAGGCAACTGTTCTTTTATTATTATGAGTATTTTATTTCACATATTTACATAAAATACTCTTTATAGAAATTTCTGGTTCTGTTGTCTTTTTAAAAGCAACTTACCAATGTTAGTTTTTTTGTTATTATAATAATTTGATATAGTAGCAAACTTCTTCCTTAGCTTTTTAGAAATCATAAAATCTAAAAAAAACTATTTTCTCACTCAGCCAGGATTATCATTTTCCAAATCAGAGTTAAAATATTCCACCAGTACACCAGTGCAGAGCTATAAAAAATCATTTGGGAAAGAGTTATGATGGGGAATAGAGATGAAGGATATTTGTGATAAAGAATATATACAAGTTAATGTAAACAGAAATTTGGAAAAAAATGAAACAACATTCATTTTTTAAAAAGATAAAGAAAA